GTTGTAAAAACTTAGAGAAGTTTTCACCAACTTTTAGAATTTTTAGTTGGAGGCCACCCCCCCCCCAAACTCCCCAGCCCGGCATTGTTGGCTGGGGAATTCTGGGAGTTGAGTCCACTCAACGTAAAGTTCCGAAGGTTGAGAAACCTTGCCGTAGATTGTAAGCATCCTTTAAACAAATGCTTTGCAAAGAAAAGAACCCCTATCTTTTGGCTATTCACAGCAGGTCTGAAAGGCAATATCATTATGCCCGTTGTGCAGCCAGGAGAAACTGAGGCTTATCTAAAGTCACAGTGAACCCATGGCAAGGGGTGAGACTCTGATGGTGTTTTTGGGCATAGAAGTCACACATTTAAGCCACTGTGCCTGCTCGAATGCTTTTTTAGTACCCATTAAAAAAAGAACAAAAACGTTTTTCCCCTCCCAAATTTTATCTTGAAGGAGTATTATATTGCAGACACTTCCGAAGACCAGGTGTTTGTGTGCGTCAGTTATAGCAACAACAGCACCAGCCTCTATATCTCTGAAGCCGAAGGTCTTCGCTTTTCGCTGACTTTGGAAAACATCTTGTATTACAGTCCTGGCGGAGCAGGGAGTGACACCTTAGTAAGGTAAGGTGGTGGATGATGCTCCTGGAGAGAGATGACTTGGTTGGCGTGCTCCTTCATCTGGGAGATACGAGATGCTCTCTCTTGGGTGCCAGTTTTGGGCAATGGGCACAAGAGACAAGTATTTGTTTAATTTGAAGAGCGTATTACGACCCCCGACCTCACATAGTGATCTCAGCCACCTCATAACCACCAACAGACCCACCAGATGAAAACAGAGCAGACCCACCAGAGGCCAGACCATCCATAGTACTGTATGGTCCTCCTGACTCAACCCCCTCCTAACTCAAGGCTTGGGGGAAAAGCCAGGTCTTCATGGCCTTCTGGAAGGCTAAAAGGGTGGGGGCCTCTCCAATCTTGGAGGGGGCGCTATTCCAAAGGGCTGGGGCAGCTACAGAGAAGGTGCACCTCCAAGGTCCCATCAGATGACAGCGTTTAAGGGAAGGGAGCTGGAGCGCGCCCATCCTATTTGACCTGGTAGAAGATAGATCCACCTTCCACCTGGTAGTTGGTGAAAGGGTTGAGATAAACCTTTGCAGCAGAGGCCCACGAGCCTTCTCACCCCACGGGCCTTGGGGTAGCCTTTGAAGGACTTGTAGAGAGCTGTATTCCCCCAGTAGTCAATCTAGGAATCAAAAATATACATTTTAAGATTGAATTATTAAATTAAGTGCAATGAGTAAGCCTGTTCCTTGTGTGTTTCATACTTTGTGTAACATCGAAATCATAGTTCAGTGACAAATTTTGGACAGAAGTGGGGAGGGGTTAGCTATACCTGAGGATCTGTGAGATGGGTCAGAATGGGGAAGATTGTAAAATACCTGAGGTGTCATTGTTTTGACTGGGAACCTATTGAATTGAAGTTTAATTAATCAAATTAAATTAAATGTTCATTGTGGCCCTGCTCACTTAGGACATCGTCCTTTAGATTGTATTAATCCAATAAAATTGTACTTAATATGAAATTAAATCCTTCTTATTGTCTTTTCAGCAATGGGCAAAGGCATTTTTCTCCTTTTTAATTACACGTTGCATAGTTGCCATGTTCTCAACCCTTTATTACTGCTATTACTCTGCTATGGTTTATTTTACTGCTTATTTTATTTTGGACATTTATGCAGTGTTTTAATGCATGCTTTTGTCAGTTGTTTTAGCTGAGTTTTAATGGTCCAAATTTTATTGCAAACCATCCTGGGGTTTTTAAAACGAGAAGCAGGACACCAACATAAATAAGATAGCGTCGCATAGCCTAACACAACACAGCACTGTGTTTTCATCCCATCAATTTTCTTCCTGTACCCCACCTACTTTTTCGAATTGGGGGGGTGCTGTAGAGAGCTGCAAAGATTACCTCGGAGAAGTCTGCTGAGATCGTTGCCCTGCCTTGACTCTTTTGGGTTTAAGTGGGAGGAAAGGGGAAATGCTGTCAGGCTTTCAAGATTTATTGATTTATTGATTTACAATTCAAATTTAGTCACCGCCCATCTCACTCAATGAGTGACGTTGGGCAGATTATAGCAAAAACAAAAATAAATACTGCTTAACATACTGATTAAAATACAATAAACCAATGTTCATGAATAAATAACATTGCCAAGGCAACTGATGGTAAGTGACCGTTGTTATCCCAAGGGGGCATTTTCAAGGTGCCAGCCATTCCAAGGGTTGGTTACTCCTCCTCATGCCCACGCCTGTTGGCAGAGCCAGGTCTGCTGTTATCATGACCTGAATCAGTAAAATAGAGTTCCAGTATTTCTCGCCATGTCTGTTTCCTGACCTGGCCTACCTCGCAGGGCTGATAGGGACCCTTCTGAATCCTTCTAAAGCCAGGCCTGGCTTGCACCATGAAAGCAAAGCTGCATCCCTGGGCTGCAGAAGGACTTGAAATGATGCAGCCTTTTGTGGGAGGAAGTGAGCGAGGCAAATGGCAGGAGCTTCTTTGGGAAGTTCAATTTAATAGAGGTAGCTTTTTTTAAAAAAAAAAATAGCTCGACTGGGGGACACTGCTGCAGCAGCTGTGATTTTTAGGTGCTTTGCATTTCCCCCCACCATGGATAAGGTAGAGAACGGAGATAGCCTCGAAGAAGACACACGGCAGCCACTAGGAAGTCATGCATTTAGCCCAGGAAAACAGGAGAGGGTGAGGAAGATACTCAAGAATGCCCCGTCTTGACTCTCTTTCGTATTGGAGGAAGGGAAGGGGAAACACTGTTGGGCTTTCAAGATTCTGTTGTTATAACCTGTATCAGTAGAGTTCCAGTATTTCTCGCAAGGTCTGTTTCCTGATCTGGCCCACCTTGAAGGGCTGCTGGGTCTTTGGCGAATAAGCTCTTCTTTTGGCAGATACTTCGCAAGCGAGCCTTTTGCAGACTTCCACCGCGTTGAGGGCATTCCGGGGGTCTATATCACCACCCTGATCAACGGCTCGTTCAGCGACGAGAACATGCGCTCGGTCATCACCTTCGACAAAGGTGGGACTTGGGAATTTCTCCAGCCTCCAGAGTATACTCACTATGGCGAAAAGATAAATTGTGAGGTAATGATGCCGACATCCAAAGGAATGACGCTGCCTGTCTAAAGGCTTTTGGATCGCTCATTGCATTCTTGGGTCCTGGTTAAGCTTCACTCGAGTTCTAAAAGTAGGCGCTGTTTGGGGAGATCACACAACGGTGAGACTATTTTTTTGTTGTTGGTCATCGTTGGGATGCGCAAGCAGCAGTGCACGGCCAATTTTCTGGATCGTGTGCATGTTCTCCCATGAGTATGTGTACTTTTTGAACAACAGGCTGTCACTTTCTCTCCCGGAACTTGTGCTTGCACATCTGGGCAGATGCAAATCTAAATTTATGCAGTCTGCAGCGTCTGTGCAGCCAGTCAGCTGAACTGCAGTGAGAAGTGGGCTGTGAGTGTAACCTTTTCTCCCGGTTCTCCGCCCTACTAATCAGCCGAACAATGTCTGAGGGACCCTCCAGGAAAGAACCTTGAGTACTTTTCTCCTAGAAATTCTGCTGAAAATAGCTCTCGTCCTACTCTGATGTTGTAATGGCCTGTGGGAATGACCTTGGGAGACCAGAGGGAGAGCCCCAGGCTGCACAACTGCCATGTAAAAGTCATCTCAGCCCAGAGAAGGAGGGAGGGAATGGGAAACGTTTCAGAAGGGAGTCTTCCTGCTTTTCTGGAGAATAAAAGGAAAGGAGGGAGAAATACTTTCAGTTTTGCAAGATTGATGTTAGCCCTGCGAGGTAGTCCAGACAAGAAGCACAACCAGGAGTACTAGCTCTGTTAACAGAATCTTGCAAGACTGAAAGTATTTCTTCCCTCTTTTCCTTTTATTCTCCGGAAAACTAGGGAGGGTCCCTTCTGAAACACTTCCCATGCCCCTTTTTCTTCTGTGGCATGAGATACCTTTTATGCGCCGGTTGTCCAGCCTGCGGCTCTCCCTCCTGTCTCCCAAGGTCATTCTCCAGACCATGACAGATGTTGACTCCAATGCTTATTGTCAATGCAGTAGATGAAGAATACATAGGCATATGAGGCCTGTT